GTTTAAGGAGGCACTGGACATGGCACTTGGTGCCATGGTCTAGTTGGCATGGTGGTGTTAGGTCACAGGTTGGACTTGATGACCTCAGAGGTATTTTTCAACCTGAGTGATTCTGAGATTCTGTAAAACGCATTCTCTCACTAGCTGCATGCTACAACACACCAGATTTTCTGCCTGCCACATTATCAGAATGGTCTACAAAGATGAACAATCTCCAAAGAGCCTCTACTCATCTGCTGATGGGGAACCTGATAGTGCTGCAGCTCCCTTACTACTTTTTTTTTTGCTTTGTGGTGTATCAGGAATCATTCTCATCGTAGGCCATGGCTCTTCCTTGGCATCTTTCACACGACCTCTGATTGGGCTCCCCAGCAGAGACAGCAGTGACTTTGCCCAGGTGGTACGGAAGGTAAGAAGATTTTTTTTCAATCAGGAAGCTTTCTATTTGTTTTATTATACTTTTATTAAAGGGCCTGTTTATGCAGCAAGAAATGCATGGAACTGCTTGCCAATACCGATGACATTAACTTTCTCATTCCAAAGGGAATCTACTAGAGATATAGCAAAGCACTGGAGGTCAAGACAAGGGTTTTATCCTGGTGGCTACAAATGTGGCTAGTGGTTAAGTCTTTGGAGAATATTTTCATCCAACTCCCCTGGAAAGGCAATGCCATGTAACACCTACAGACAAGAGGCTCCACCTGGAGCTAGCCTCCCTCCTTTCAGCCTGGAAAAGAGAAAGCTTTGGGGTGACCTAATTGCAGCCTTCCAGTATCTGAAGGGAGATAGAGAAGGAATTTTTACAAGACCATGTGGTGGCAGGACAAGTGGGAATTGCTCTAAACTGAAAGAGAGTAGGTTTAGGTTAGATATTAGGGAAAAAAATCTTCACTGTGATGGTGGTGAGGCACTGGAGCAGGTTGCCAAGGGAAGATTTGGATGCCCCTGGAAGGGTTGTGTTCAAGGCCAGGCTGGATGGGGCTCGGAGCAATCTGGTCTAGTGTAAGGTGTTCCTGCCCATGGCAGGGAGTTTGAACTAGATGAACTTTCAGGTCCCTTCCAACCCAACCATTCTGTGACTCTTTAGAAACAGGGCTAAGAGCCTTCCCTCTCCTCCCCATGGAGCAGTGAGTGTAACCTGCAGCTGCATTCAGCGTGTCACTCTTGAGGACGCTGTGTGCTTTTCATGGCACTGTCAGTTCACAATGTCAGTGCTCAGCTACACAATGAAGTGGAGAAGAGTTTTCTTTCCAGCTTCACCAGTGGGGCCTGTGCTTGAGATTTGGTCTCCAAGGTGGTTTTGTTTGCTTTGTGTATTACCATCAGTGGCAGAATTCCTCACCCCAGTTTTCCTTACCACCTGTCTTGGTATGACCAACTAGAGAATTCAGTCTTTAGATCTATTTTGATTACCACTGTCAATGTTCATAAGAAGAAGTGAATTTATTTTGATCATCAAATCCAAATATTAATGTGGAGTGATGACACAAGTTCAGTTTTCAGCCCTCAGATGTCCAGTCTGGTTTTAGTTCATTTCAGAAGTGACAAAATATCAGGGTCTGCTCTCTTCTGTAGCAAACTCCACCCTTCATGTCAAAGCAATGATCCTGCTAGTAACTCTGCTAGTAACTTCTTTCCTAGATCCCTTCACTGGGAATGTGTTTCTGTGAGGAACTGAAAGAGGAGAACAAATGGCAAATGGTTAACCCTCCAGTGAAGACGTTGACTCATGGAGCAAATGCAGCATTTAACTGGAGAAACAGCATCATGCAAGATTAAAAGGTCATCTCTGCCTCTGCCATTGTCACAATGAACCAAAGGCAGGTTGTGATTCAGCACAGTCCAGTGATTCATCCAGAAGACATAGAGAGGGTGGGAAATGCCTTCTCTGAGTTGTCAAAACACAGAGAAACACTTCGAAGTTTGGATCCTAACTCTGTTTTTATTTTGGTGGCTGACGAGGAACCGATGAACTGGTGTTCAAGTGAGAAATAATGCTTCTGGTGGTGAAGAAACTACCTTTTAACCTTTTCTGAGAGTACAAATGTTTAATAAACACAGAACTGCCTGGTTTTAAATTCCCTGCTAAAGGCACCGAAGCAGACAATGCTGCATTTTCCAAAACCAAACTACATCCAGTAAGAATTTGGGACCTTTTTTTCCATGCACTTGAACATTTTCAGACAACAGAAAAGTTGGGACTGAAAAGAATTTATCTCCTACCCGAGGAGGAGCCCTGCTCTACCAAAAGCCACTGGGTTTCCTGTCCACTCCACCAGTTCTCTGAGAGCAAATACCACAACTATTTACCTCTTCTATGAAGGGAGTCCATTTTCTATTACAACAGCTCCACATTCAGCAATTCTTGAATGATCCACGTTGCAAAAGGGACTAAATGACTTTTTTTTGAAGAAAACTAAAGCAACTGCTTTACTGTTGCTGGGACAAAGAAAGACACCCTGTGTTACTGCCCTGGTGATCTGAGCAACTCTAACTCTGGACCCTTCCTGAGATGGCACTTGCAGGACAACAGCTTTGCTTTGTGCTGCTCTGTGCCAAACTGAATAAATGGGGATACATCTCCCAGAACAAATCTTCTCTTGGTGATTTGTTTAATTAAGGGAACGTAGCCCTGAAATATTTTGCACAAACATGGACATGCCTTTCCAGTCTGGGTTTTTTTCTACTTTTCCTTTCTAGTTATCTTCTGAGTTTGGTTTTTTTCCCCTCCAGGAAAGCACAAAGGTTTCTTTCAATGAAAGGAAAAAATGGAAGAGAGGATCCCTAATGCGCTGTGTTCATAATTTGCTGAATACAGATGAAATGGAGAAAATTTCTTTGGAAGCCTCAAAGCTGTTTTTGTGTTAAGCAAAAGAAATAGGAAATCCTTTTCCAGTTTCTTGGTTTTTTTATGCCACCTCAAAAAATAGATGTTGCTTTACTCCACTGCAATTTTCTTTAATTGGATCTATTTCATTACAAAGTTGTGTACTTTTATAGATGCTTTTAGTACTACCTTGAGAATCTGAATGTTTTCTTTAGACCTTAAAAAGTGAAAATATAAATTCTTTTGGTAAAGACCTCCGGTGAAGCTAATCTATGGTGACACCTTGTGGGAAAACACAACCTCAGATTTATCATAGAACCAACAGGGTTGGAAAAGACCTCCAAGATCATCAAGTCCAACCCTACCGTGGTCACTAGACCAAGGCACTAAGTCCAGTCTCACCTTGAAAACATGAAAGTATGGTAACATCAAAATTTATAATGTTTGGAACCACTTTTAGGCAGAACTGCTTGGAGAGACACCTGAGTCCAATGCTTCTGAAAAGCAAGATAAAAAAATGCTGTGAATGTCCTGATGCTGACTTTTCCCAGGCTTTTCCCTTGTACCAGCATTCATACTGGTACAAGGTGAATGTGCAGTCTGGTTGACTCAGAGAAGTAGATCTTTTTATTCACTCTGCACAATTTTAAGTCACAGGTGAAGAGTAAACCAGTTGAATGGATATTTGACTCCTCCAACAAAAGCACTGCCTATCTCCATAAGGAGCAAGTCCTTTTCTCAGGATCACTTTGTAACACATTAGAGATGATCATATGTTCTTAGCTTTCCTTGATTATACTCCAGACCGGATACTTTTATTTTTCCAGGTGTACCACTGGAGGTCACTCATGTACTGATAAACAATTCAGTGCTTCAGGGAAAAAAGTAAAAAGACTTATCCCTTGCACTCTCAGCAGGTTCATTGACCACACCAAGCTGTGTGTGGCTGTCACAGCTGGAGGGAAGGGATGGGACATTCAGAGGGACCTTGACAGGCTTCAGAGGTGGAACAATGCAAAACTCATGAAATTCTACAAAATTAAGTGCAAGGTCCTACATCTGGCAATCCCAGGCACAGCTACAGGTTGGGTGGGGAAGGACTTGAAACCAGCAGTGAGGAGAAAGACTTGGGAGTGACAGTGGATGAGAAGCTCAGCATGAGCTGCAGTGTGAAACCAATGGAATCCTGGAATATAGCAAGTAAACTAATGATTTTAGTTTTTATATAAAATGGCAAAGAAAACCCTTCACAACATTAGCAAGCCAAGTTTGCTTTGATCTAGCTACAGTAATAATGGACATGCAGCCAAAAAAAGCAACAAGAGGAAAAAATAATCACCTGTAAAAATGGTCACTGAGGTGACATCATTGTGACAAGAAATCACAAGAAGGAATGTGAGATAGGAGAGGAAAGAT